AACAAGTCCTTGCCCCATCTCTGGGTCTGCAGGCTGAGCTGGGCTGAGATCTGGAGCAGCATCAGGAACTGAGGGCACTGCTGTGTGAGGGGTTTCAGCTATTGCTGGCTCCTGGGTGAAAATCTGGTCTTGGGTTGCACTGGAGCTGAGAACAGGAGGTGAGGCTGGGGCAGGGTCTGGGGATGAGGCAGGGGCGGGGTGAGGAGCCGGCACCGTGTCCATTGGCATGTCGGTAGCCATTTGGTCGTGGAAGTGTTGCAGGTAAACCTGGAGTGGAGAGCGTGGGAAACTGGGTCATTTTGAGTTTTCCGCTTCAGAAAAGTTTACAATTGCAGAGTGCTTCTTTAAATTTAAACATGACTACAAGTCATAGCTACAAGTCAAAAATGGCAATGATATTCTGTGAGAAACTCATTTTACTACTTATTACTTATAGCTGACGTTTTATCCAAATGATAACAGGAACCCAACATTTTAAGATTGAAAGATAGTTGAAATTGAAGATAGTATAAAAACTGATAAATAATTTTTCTTTGTTGTTTACTTTAACTACTGTGCTTAGTAGTGTCAATGGTTTGTATTTGGAGGTCTATGCACTTGTTGGATTCTAATACATCACTGGTAAGTGAAATGTAAACTTAAGTTCAGAACTACTATAAATATGATCATTGTGTTCATTGTGTCATCAGTGTTTAGACCCAAAACATGGTTAGTTGTTAAGGGTCTCCACTAACACAGCAGTTTAACATCAGCAGTATACAGCAGTGTAGCCGTGATGAACTGAGCTACGGTAACTTCTGTTGTTGCTTCATGTTAAATTCCCCTTGGGTTTGGGTTAGGATAAGATCAGGTTCAAATAAGGGGAAACACATACCGATAGTGAAACAACCTCCGACACTAGTACTTGATACTACTACAACTAAAGCTTGTATTGTGAATGACGGTTGCAGAAAAACTGTAGCATCCCCGGGGCTTCTGTTTGAACAGTAATGTTAGCTCAGTCTTCTTGAAAAAAAAAACACCTCTTCAGCACAAGCTGTTTGAGTGCAAACATCTATGAACTATAGGAACTTCAGAACTGAGAGAATTAGCTGATTAATCTATTATCTGATTAATCTATTAGCTGATCAAATGTATGTTAATAAGCAGCTGAGTTGAGGTTCCATCAATCATTTATGTAAAGTTTCTCAAGCAAAATCACAACTTCTTCTCTAGTTCCAGTTTATACAATCTAAAGTTTTTCTGTTTTATATAATTATGTAGTAGACGGCAAATTTTGCGATTGGAACTTGTGACAGTTTGATCAAGTAATCACAATAACCTAACAAAATAATTAGGAAATCGACATTCGCCAATCCAAAAGCCTTATGCTGTATCTCCATGATAACTTTCTCATTTGTAACGTATCAACATTTTCTGAACAACAAACAGGTGACATGAAACTGTTTTCTGGTTAAAGATCAACTTGGATGACACTGACATCTGCACAGGAGTCCCCCGAACAAACACCGGAAACTTTGTGTTTGATCACGCTTGGCATCATAGATGGGTATAGATATGAAACGGTTACCGGTTTCTCAGAATACAGTGGTATAATTTCTGATGGTTAGTTTTATGGTTTTTATCTTTAATTACCATGGTGATTTGGGTGATACTTTACCAGCAGGAGAGCTCTAGTGCTCTGGCCATAGCTAGCAACTACTAGCATCCAGTGTTGCCAAATTGCAATTGTTAACAGTCTTTGATATTTTGTCCTGACTCTCTCAGATATTTAAGGTCAACATCTGCACTAAATGCAAAAAGGTTGTTTGTCTGCTACATTTACTTTGAGTTGGTATTTGACACTGGATTAGTTTACGTATGGTTGTATTGTTCTGACGTGCACTTAATTAAGATTTCATTTCAACTGACATTTTTTTATCTCTTGACAAAAATTTTTTTACTATAAAACCAAAACCTTATACAGCAAGCAAAAACCTTCCATTTTCAATGTTACCATTGTACATTTGCTATATCATTATGTCATTGATAAATATATTCATTCCATCTAGAAGTTGGTGAAACTACTTCACTTTGTGTGTCAGCACTTCTATGAATAATTTAAGCAAATCACATCATTTAATATCTAAATAAGTATACTGACAATATATCCATATAATGAATGATTAACCTATCTTATATCCCTATTTGTACTGCAAAACACTTCATGTGAATTTATGCAGTTCCCCATTTAATGTCACACACATACATGTGTCACTAGCAGTGTTAACATGGAAGGTGCTTGATGATCCTGGGTGAGTTCCTGTTGCAAAGTATGTGGTTGACATTCAACCAATCACTTGCATCAAACACAATCTGCCTTTGAAGCAGGTGGTGTGAGCAGAGAACAACAGATTGAGTTCCAAGTAAGCCATATGAGATGGAGGGAGTTAGGTGTGTATGCTACATATAAACTGAATAGATTGTATGCCATTTGTAAAAAAAATAATCCCACTGGCACAAAACACTGAGAAAGAAGTCTGAAGTCAAAAAAGATCCAGTTTACAATTCATATATTTCTAGTTCTAGTTTCTATACATCCACAGCTATCAGTGATGCTATCAACATGTTAGGATGTAATCTCACTGGACTCAGTCACAAGCAGGGACCCTCTTTCTAATGGGCTCTGACCTCATCAGTGAACTGAGGGCCACATGACCCCCCCCAGCTGTCTAACCACAACAAAAAGGGGCCTACACTGACCCTTTAACTCCAGCTGGGCCTCAAACTTGTCTTAATGCTGCAGCAAGCCGCCCTCCCAAAGAAAGACTGGGTCATTGAAACTCAAAACGTGCAGTTGTTGACCCACAGCTCTTATCAGACACAGTGACAGTAAAAGGACGCTGCTACAGGCTGCTGCTGCTGATGAAGGCGACGATACCTCTGCACAACTAACATCAACTGTTAGCATTTTTCCCCAAAACGACAAAGAACCGTGGCAGGAGCACTTGAAAATGAGCAAAAAGCCAAACCCGTAGAAACGTTAATATTAATCCAGCGAGGTGGCGCACACAAACACGGAAGCAGTCATTAGCAGCGTTTAAACAGCCGTGCCCCAGCGTTGAGGATTTAAGCTAACACTTGCTAGCTTCTCGCTGGCTACTTCCATATCTGCAGTAGAAAAAAAAAACAAAAACACCGCGACGACAGACACCACACACACGTTAGGGTTAAAGGGAGAACACCGTCTGTGGTTGGATGGAATAAACCCGCCGTGGGAACCATTACCTCCTGCAGTGCACGGTCGTCTTCTCCCCGCAGAGCTCAGTCGATTTTGTTTCGAATTGTAAGAATTCCCTGGATCGGTTTCCTTCTAGCATTAGCTAGCTGAGGCACCGTCGGGGGTCACGCCCACACCAGAAACTACGCCCTGCGATTGGTGGGACGACGCGGATGCTATGACTGTTGGTCAGAAAGCCGGTGATGGGATTGGCTCGTTCGGTTACAGGCACACGAATCAGCCAATGACAGCAGGTGACGATAATTACGCATGTCCTCCAATGCTCGTGCCTGCGTCCTGTGCACGCCACGCACGTACACACTGCCGGGTTTGGTGAAGGCTGCTGATCTGTCAATCACGAGACAGATGAGAGTCCCTCAGTGCAGGTTAATGATCTTTATTAATATTCTCAACAAACCTGCGCGAGTTTAAGAGTTTCTACAACCACAGAACTCCATGACATAATGTGCAGGGCTATCTATCTATTTTTAATATAGTTTATAGTTGTTTAAAACATTTATATTTCTATAGTTACCTTCTAGTTTTTATATCGTTTTTGCACAGACGATTAGCACGGGTTAACTCAACACAGTTCTATATTTATCTTCTGCAAATATTTCACATTCCTGCACATTTTTAATTCCTCTGTTTATATTGAAATCCTATGCACATGTTTAATTCCTCTGTTTATATTGAAATCCTATGCACATGTTTAATTCCTCTGTACACATTTAAATTTACATTCATCTCAGGCCAATTTCTACATATGGTTACCGTGTTATAAGTTAACTCTAATGCATAAGTCAAGTCTAATGTATGTTCAATGTATGTTACTGCCACTGGATGCTTGAATTTCCTTCGGGATCAATAAAGTATCTATCTATCTATCTATCTAGAGCATATTGGTGTTTTTAACAGGATAGTTCACCCAAAAATGAAAATTCACCCAATATCTACTCACCACTATGCGGATGGAGGGGAGGGTGAAGTGTTTGAGTCCACAAAACACTTCTTGGAGCTTCAGGGGTAAACAGCGTTGCAGCCATTTCGGCTAAAATCATGGTGTGAATGACGTAGTCGAATTTGAATGTGTGGACACTTGGATGACACAACAGGAGCAGTATTGAGGAATTTAATGTTTTTCTACATTTGAAAAAAGCAGTCAGCATTTATTTCAATTGTATTGGATTCTGTTTACCCCAAATCTCCTGAAGTATTTTGTGGATTCAAACACTTCACCCACGCCCCTCCATCAGCATAGTGGTGAGTAGATATTGAATTTTCATTTTTGGGTGAACCAGCCGTTTAAATCAATCATAAAACCATTTGGTCTTTAACATCACTGTCAGAGCTACACACAGAAGTCTAGTTCAACTTTAGCTCAAGACAATCTGCTCAAGTCTTCGAGGTAGTTGTGTCCTTGTTTTTGTTGCCTCTTTAGGACCTTCTTCAGTATAAACTATGACCAGTAGACAACAAGGGGTACACAGTCTGTTCCTACTAAGGCAAAACAAAAAATTCTGAGGTCCTTGATGAGGTTAGGGGTAAGAAGTAAATTGTTGTTAGGTAAAAGTTTGAGTTAGGCATGAATTGGTCATGGTTAAGGTTTGGGATATGGTTTTGGTTAGGATGGAAGTTACTGTTTAAGACTCAAAGTTAAGTCTTAACAAAGATAGCTGCACAAAACTCTTATTTGTCAGTGTATTTCTGAATGTGTGTGTGAGATATAGATAAAACATAATTTCACTTTTTTTATTGAACACAGAAAATTTATTAACATTTTTTGCACAAAACATGTGCAACCATTTCTAAAAACTACATATCAAAACCATAATGGACTAAAAATTATACAATTATAGAAAATATACATTTCCCAGTTTATGCTAATCTTTGTCTCTCCTTTAAAAACTGTAAGTGCTGCACATGTTGATGGACATTCACACACACTGCAGCTGAAATTCAACACCAAGCATCACATTATCCGTACAAAGACAGTTAGCGGTAAAAGTAGTTAATGACACATTTGGATAATTTAGTTGATTCAATGGCAAATTTCAGGAGCAGTGTGGGATTTAATAAATTTTTCAACTTAATGCAAGCATTTCCTGTTTTTTTTCTTTAATGAGATCAAATGACCTGCAGAGACACAAAAATCTGACTGAACCACCCTCTCCCACAGATGGCAGTAAGATTATAAAAGATGAATAAGTACACATTAAAAATTTTAGCAAAAAATTTTTTTTATAGAAAGGGTCTAGACTCAATTAGCTTTAAATGTCAGGGACAAGGTCTAAAGAGCTAGATGGGAGTTCTACATTACACTCTTGATTAAACATGTTTCTTTCCTCGGACTTTAACAAACGCTGTGAAACAGGGGATTTCCAAATCTATGCCATGGAATAAAATTCTAACATGTTTGGCTTCTATACCAAAGTCATAGAAACTTTTTAACCAACTTCATATACAAATATAAAAATAACTTTATGAAAATATATAGAGAACCAATACACAAGCTAGAAAATCCATCCAAGTTTGATGACACTGTTTCCCAACAAGACACTTCCTCCAAGACGGCTGGACCACAGAACCAAAACCAACTAGTTCTGTTTGATCTCCGTTTTTAGGTCTCACCTACATTTCACACTCAAAGTGCGTTTTTTCTCTCCAAAAGACGACTTTGTTCACTCGCGTTAATGGATTTCAATCAGCTGATCATGCCAGGACAATAACAAAGTGGTAGAAACCTGTGACAACGACTTTACTTGTTAGTCTACTTTAGCCAATCAATTTCTTGATAGCAAATCAAGTTTCAGTGTTTGTAAACACAGAGAGAAGAGATTTGTAAAAGAATTACGGAGTCCTGAGATGTAAACAGCTACAGGAGACAAAACCTCAACTGCATCATCAGATTGAGACGATTGCATCAAAATGACAACCAGCCACAACAACAGATCCACATTGTACTAATAACAATAAAAAAAAAACTCCAAACAATTTGAGAAACAACTTAACGTTCTCTTAAGCAGTGCTGAATGTGGAGGCTTTACTTAAATCATCATGAATAACATTTGCATTAGCTAACGGAACATAACAAAACACAGTAAATCAACAACTGAGGATTTTAGCAGAGGAGTAATGGCACAGGCTGTTATAAAGGAAGTTTCAATTTATCAGTAACTACATATCAGGGCAGATCCAAGGTGAAAAATGGTAACATTGAAGTCCACAAAAATTGTAGTTTTATAAATCATAAAAAATATATTAAGAGAAAACTGATTCTTTATTGCGTCAAAATTCCCCTTACAGTTTACATCGCCTTTCCTCGAGGTCTTGCGTGAGCGGAGCCACTGATCATCGCCCGTTGCTGTACCCTGGGAAAAACTGATTTAGAATATCCTGCAGAGATTTGTTGATGGTCATGGAGTTGTTTTTGCCCAGGTCGTGTCTGCAGGCCGGGCAGGTGTACACCTCTGCTTTGAAGGACCGCTGAAGGCATTCCTGAAGTAAAAAAAAAACAATGGCCTTTAATTCTCTGGGCCTCCACTCAATGAATATTTTCACCCAAATTAAATTTTTGAAAGGGTAACATTTTTTGTTAAAATAATAATGAACGTTTGTAATAATTTTGGAATGATCTTCTTTAATTGGCAGTTTCATCTCATTCTCCAGGATACTTCAGTTTCAGAAGTGTGTGTAAGGTGCCAACAGGTCAAAAGCTGTTACAGCTCACATTTAACATAACATTTCACTACTGCACCATTAAAATAAAAACCTTATGGTAATTATATTATTATTCATCTCAAAATATCCCTTTAAGGAGGTGTGCTGAAAAAAACTCCATAGAAACACACATTTACTTTGCAATTTATTGCCGTCACGTGACCATGGAGTCTTTGTCATTCTTCCAAATTTTGGACAGGGGACAGTCTCTTACCCTGCAGACGTTGTGTTGGCATTCTGTGGTGATGGGCTGATAGACCACTTCTTGGCAGCAAATGCAGAGGAAAACTTCTTCAACCTTGTTCAAAAATTTCTGCAAAAAGAAAATATTTGAAGACATTAAAATCTGTTCCCTTAGCAACACTTATTTTGTGAAGGTGAGATTTTACTGAACCCCTCCCATTTATTATTTACACATACAAAAAAACCAGTGACCAAGAGGCTTCTCTATTTAGTTCATCTTTTTAAATACCTTAAATTCCTTTGTTTCATAATCCAAATATCTTCATACAAGCCATTTTTCAATTAAACAATAAATATATAATTTCTATGCACAGCGTTGTCAGTAAAATCTTTTATGCACAAGCAATGAGACTAATTCTCCAATAAAGTCACACTTGTGAGACATTAAGTCCTTACCTTACTCTATACCAACTATTTATCACAACAAATCATTACTGTCTCAACATTAAGCTTAAGCATATAAAAATCCAGCAGCCAACTGGACCAAAGACGCAGTCATCCTCACCGGTCCAAGTGACAGTGACTCCATGGCTTCATCCCACAGCTTCTTGTTTGGCTTGTCATTCTTGATGAGGGCCTTCTGCTCCTGGGAAAGCTTGTACACCTCTACCTTGACTTTCTTTGGATTCTTGGCAGGCGAGGTCTTAGAGGATTCTGACAGAAACCAAGAAACACATTTTCCATTTACTAAGGTGTTGTAGAGTTGAGGGTGGATAGTACATGAAAATTAAAACAGCCCCAAAAAAAAAAAAAAAACAACCTACCACTGCCCTGAGATTTTCTCTTCCTCTTGGCTTTGCTGGGTGTTGCCGCCGCTGCCGCCGCCTCCTCCGCTTCATTTTTGTTCTCCTTCTCTTTCTGATAGCCGGCAGGATACTGGAAGACATAGGGACAAACATGAGCAAGCTAATACGCAGATCAACAATAAGCAGGTTAATATTTGCTTTTAAAGCTATTAGCCTCTACCAAAAGTAATGTTTACAAAGTCAACACATTAACATGCTTACAGTGAGCTGGTAAAATGCTAACACCTGTTGAATATGTTGGTGTAACATGCTTATGTGGGTACAAGACCAGCCAAGGAGAGGTTGATTGTTGTGACATGGCAGTAAACACACGTGTGATACGCTCTCATGCTCAACTGAGCCCAAGGGACAGGTACACAGACAGGGCATAACACCCCGATAAACCAACATGTTACTCTTTTGTATACTAACTAAATAAAATGATCTTATCTAAATATACCTGCATGGTGAGACCAAGCTTCTTGATGCGATCCTTGCCATCTCTTGTCCATGGTGCCGGCTCATCATCATCACGTTTCAGCAGATAGCGCCATACCAAGAAGCCAGATTTCCCCTTGTCAGGCCAGTACTTCACAATCTGAGAGAAGTTTAGAACATTTTCAGTAAACAACAACCAGTGCTTGAAGTCACAATCTTATAAATCCAACATGTCTAATGAAACTAGGTTATCATTGGCTCATTGTTACCTCAGTTCTGGTGAGGATGGATCATATAATTTATCAATGTAATTAATCATCTGTCAGACCCCACGTTCAATGACTGCACTACAGTTTCACATGTGCTAAAATGCATATGGAAACCTGTCCAGTGTTTCTTCGTACCTTGTATATGCCATCATATCTGTTTCCTTCCTCAGGGGAATATTTACTGTGCTTTCGACCCTTGCAGCTGCGAACAACTCTAACTGGTTTGCCCTGCTTCCAGCTCCTGGATTCAGCTCCATTTTTGTCATTGACTGGGACGTTGCAGTTGAGAGCCAGCGCCCTGGTGTGAATCAGAACAAACTATTTAAATATGCAAAATAAAATGGAGCAAAACACTGAGAAATGACTGTGATTTAAAGCAGTTATGCATTATGTACGTAAGTGTCATACCTGTTCATGTGGGTGAGTGTCTGATCACATGACTGCTCAGCAGTCCTCTTATTTCCAGACAGATCTCGTCCTCCAGAGCCAGTGTAAGTGAACTCATTGCCATCGTCCTGAGATGTAAAATATATAATTAAAAACAATATAACAACAAACCTCATCTACTCCTTCAATTCCCCTAGATAATGAAAATAAGCAGCAACTTGTACCTTATTAAAAGTTATCTTTACATTATTGCTACTGATTAAAAAAAACAATAACACACCACATCGTCCTCGTAACCTCCAGCCAAGACAAGAGAGTAGGCACCATCATTGCTCCTGCCGTGAATTCCAGCTACATGTGGCCTGTGGACTCCAGACTCGCTGACCTGGAAAGGCCAAAGAACTGAAACATTATCACAGGCCAATGAAACTCATTTTATGGTCATTTACTTTATCACCACTAAGATCTAAGTTAATCTCAAATTGAAGACAAGAACCATTTTAGCTCTCCGCATGGACTGACCTGAACTCTGAACTTCCACAAGGAGCCAACAGGGATTCCAGGGATTGGGCCGTAGTGGTTGGACGGGACGATAGTGCACTGCTTGGTTCGACCTACACAGGCCATTCCCTGGAGAGGGAGGAGTCAAAAGTGTTTGTATGTTAAGACTTTGGTGTTTAATACCAAGAATAATATAGTGGCTAGTTGTCTAAAATGGAAGTGTGCATGTGAAGTCCATTTCTCACAGCACATGTCTGCTGTAACCACTGTCAATAAGACACAAATCACCAGGAATAAAATATTGATTGTTTGCCAAAACTTAAGCCATAATACTCTAACTATTTACCAATCGTGAAGTAATATTATTAAATTCATATGGTTTATGCATGTCTAAATGACATTTGCTGTCTGGCACTCTGCATCAGTTCTCACCTTGCCCCAGTCCCTCTGGCTGGAAGAGCTGGCGGAAGCCATCTTTGCTTTCTTCTTGCTCTCCTTCAGCTTCTCTCCAGCCAACACAACCTCACTGGTGTCGTTACGGCAACCTGGGCAATACCTGCAACAGCACGACAAGTTCAGGTCAAGCACAACGTATTAAAGACAAGTGATGCCAAACATAACACTTTGTCACAAGTAGCATGAAATCAAGTGGCCTGTTGAGGAGCCATTTGTTTTTAATCTATTCCTGACATTTGATGCTACAGGTGAGATTGAGGATTTGAAACTAAATATCTCACAATACTAAGTTTTACATGGTATATAAACAGATGAAATAATTTAGTTCTTAGCTCTAAAAAAATGTGGTTTAATATTGAGGGTATTTGGTAATATCATCAACACATGGTCGATATTTTTATCTTTAATTTCCAAACAAACGTCTGGATATCTGAACACATTGTCGTTCCACATCTGCTCTTACTGACCAGTCCTCGTCTTCAGGGATGGAGGTGATCGGGGGGTCCAGGCAGTAGGTGTGATAGGCCATGTCACATTCATCACACAGCAACTGTTTGTCAGGATCCTGCTTGATGCCGCAGATGTGACAGTTACACCAGCGACAGTTTTTATCAGGGTCATCCTTACAGTGCTTACACTCGGGTCCATTTGATCCTGGAGAATAGAGATTGTGCAAAAAAAAAAAATGTTTTATTTTAACATGCAGCAATTGAGTAAGGCAGGTTTTGTATTGACTACTACTAATTGAAAAACATACTTTTTAGTGGACTCTCAGAACCTGCTGGAGCGTCACCCAGAGAACCGGGTTCCTCGATTTTGTAAATTTCAGTCAGGAACTTGATCCGGCAATCATTTAGAGAGTCTCCAGCATCACTGAAAACGAAAGGGGAAACGGAAAGCAACATTCTGTGAGATCAAAATATAGTGGTGGCAAACAGAGCTCAGCCCACCTGCAACTGTGGCTTCCAAAACAAACTCTGATATAGAGATACAAATGTTCACCTGCCACCACAGCTAGATCAACACTTATAAGAACTCCACCTTACATGAAACGAGGCTCTTACCCAAGGATAATCTTGGCATAGATTTCTCGCACTGTGCGCGTCTCCCTCCTCCTCTGGATTTCGGCATCATACCAGTAGCCACGCTCCTTGGGGTCATCTGGGTTGTAGTTTACCATTACAATCATTCCTGGCTCCAGCTGGTGCCACTGGTACAAGGTGCGGGCCCGCGGACGAACATCCTTGGCAAGCAACGGAATGACCCCGTTTTCTGGGTAGCTGAAACAGTAACAATGATATCGGTTTATAGTTCACACACAAGCCACACACCATCACAGGTGCTTCCTGAATGTACAAAACCACTCAGATCCATGTTCCCCTCAACACTAAGCTACTTAAAAGTCACTTACACAAGATCGTCTTTCAGGGAGAGCAAAGAGAGCAATTAACGAAAACTATGACTTAACATGTTTATCAACAGTCTTTTCTCCATGATAAGCTCAAAAGGACTTTATCACCATGCAATATGGTGGATGAAAAAGAACCAGGCTGAAATGTAGTTTTCAACTAGATCAGATCGAAGCATTATCTGATGACTGAAACTGGGCTAAAATAGTGAAGGTTGGTTGATTATAATTAATAAAAACTAGGATTCTTACTCTTCATATTTAACGTGGTACAGTATCTCATCCTCTGCTGACTTGGCCTCTGCGGCCTCCTCTATTGGCGTCTTTGGCGTCTTCGTAACATTCATTATCTGGGCTTCAAACCATGCTCCCATGTTCAAGTCTCTTGCATCCACCAGCTCGTTGATCTTCAAACACACAAACCAAAGAGTTAGTTAGCTCCCCAGAGACATCTTAACTATTAAAGAGCTGTTTTTTCTCTCTAGCAAAATTAGTAACAACCAAACAGACCTTCATCCTTACAAACATATTTTCAAATCATGGTATAAAATTACATCTTCTCACCATGTCTATATGAGACTAGATGAAAAAAGGCTTTAATACAGCTGGGTCAGTGTAACTTTGTTGTCCAAATCAAATACGTAGGTATATTTGTGTTTAGCGTATAAAAAAGTCATGTTGGTGGGGAGAACAAATGGACAATTAAACCCATCCATAAAAACAGTCCAGTGAGGGGACACTCTTGATTTCGATTGACAAATGAAACGTTTTACTCCACATAATACACTGCATTTCCTTCATAAAGCCATAGTACAAGAGCCAAAAAGCTTAAGACCACAAATTGAAAATAAAAAATGGGGACATAATGCCATTAACAAGATGTTTCCCCAATCCCATGGAGACACAAAGTGTTGCACTCCACTGAACACAAAAAGTGTGAGGATGAAAAATATAACTTAAATACCCAGATGCATGAGAAACGTTTTAGATGCTGTCCAACCACTTCATAGCCAAGAATCTCAGCACAAAATCTTAACATCTAAAGCATCTCCACCTATCTTCAACAGAAATATTCAATTTACCCCTTCTTCACAAATACTTGCTTTATAACTCACCTTGTAAAATCCAAATCCCAGGTCGACGAGCTCTGGGGTGTTTGCCTGGGCAGAGGTGCCGGCAGCTTGACCTTCTACCTCACCGTGAGTGGAGTTCTTGTCAGATTCGCTCTGAGTTGAGCCACAGCCTGAGTCAGAGTCAGATAGCTCAGCCTCTTTGTCCTTGCTTTTAATGACATCAACAGAGGGCATCTTCTGCCTAACAAGCAGCTGCACTATGTCGTTTAGTCCAACGTTGTAGTCGAATATAGTATGGCCGTCTTCCATCTGATTGAAAATGCATAATAAGGTTGAACTGAATTCTTCTGGCTCGTTATAATTTCAAACACAATATTCACATTCCTATTTAGTACAAGCTTTTCACTTAACTTTCATATTTTATACATAATGCATTTTGTTCATGAGTAAATGTTAAAGCAGAAATAATGACTGAGCTACAACCATTGTGGAAAATCTTCAAAAAAATTCAAACTAAATTATTTGTTTGAGATAAAAGCACACCAATGGCCATAATCATACATTTTTCTGAGCAAAATTTAAACCACGTCGTCTCACCTGCTTGCCACGGTAGAAGAGTCGCTGCCTTTCCGGCTCCACGTTGAAGAGCTCAGTGATTTTGAGACGCAGCTCGTCCACCTTGGTGAGTTTGGACAGGGAATCCACCCGGTGGGTTTCCTTCCCATCCATTGTGCGCACTTGAATCCACATTGCAGCTGCCCTGTGTTAACAGCGAAACCATGAGAACCACGAGAATGATTGTATTTATTTTACACGATATTAGATCAGAGCCTGACCGATGGCTTTTTGGAGCCACGTTGATAAAGGGGACGAAGAATCAAATCATATCTTTTATTTATTTATACACCGATAGCCTTAGAAGGGAAACTATGGGGACATTGCAGTTCATCTCCAGGCAATTCATTTGAAAAATTATTTACCAAGTCAGCATTTACCATGAAGACTACACTTGACCGTGTAGAGTGTTGACTGCACTATGCTACATGACATGCAGGTAGTGCCTAGTAATGTAAACAATTAAGGCAGAGCGCACTCTGCTGGACAAACTGTGTGATGACAGCCGTCTATATTACACCACATACCCCTGCTGGCTGATACATCGGTCCAGCTCTAATATTAAATCCCTTTTTTTGGATCCTTTGAACTAATACATTTTCCAAACACATTTATAAAGCAAGTAAACCAAAGATTTCAGCTGAATAATCACACAGCTGTGAAGAATAACTCAAAAGGAAAGTGTGCTTTTCAGGTTTATTTCTGGCTTTGTCAAGTTAATTGAGAAATCAAATACATGTCACCGTGGCTGACATCAATTCAACTAGCTACATTACACATTCCCGCTATAGTTCAAAATTTAGAACAAATATTTGTCTGATATGCGTCTTTATTTATTTGTATTTAAGTGCAACTTTGTAAAAATGCGATGCACGTAATTATTGAATCTTCAAGCCCAATATCGTACATCATCATTATGGTTTTGTTTAACAAGACAGTTGCTCAACTTACTGCATGTGTTAGAGGAACTTGAATCAGTTATCATTTTGGGTCTTGAGATTCAAACAGAAATCCATAACATGTATCTGAAAACATTTCTTACTGCAGATAAATATTATCGACGCTGTTCGTGTAGTGACCCACAATACGAACCACATAGCCCATTGGAGTAAACGATAAATTCTATTACTATTTAAATGTAACATGTTTTTTCCTTGTATGCATCATTGTGTTACTTGGTGATTTACTTTCCTTCCCGTCCCTTACAGTAGATGAGATTAGCTGGTTCTAAGCTTGCAACCAAATACTCACACCAACTTTGACTTATAATAATAATAACAATTATACCAGTGACAATAATAACAACAAAACTATGTCTACAGCAGTTACCTAAACCATGTGTTTTACGAATCACAGGGGGATAAACCACACAACAAAGCAAGACCAAAGAAAAACAACAAAAGTAAACCACTATTAAAACCTTGAACTGACGCCTTTTGAAACCAGTGTGTGCATCCTGCCAACCCCCCCCCCTTAAAAGTACAGACATCTGCTCTTTGTGTTCTTCTCTTCAGGCAGAGAACAGCTCCAGTGTTTCTCAGTGGCAGAAATATGAGTATTGTCAGTGCATTGTGCTGCTGTCAGCACCGGGCACCTCACTCCTGCAGGCTGCGAGAAAGGGAGGGAACAGGCTGATTTGAATACAGTGCGGGAAACCGAGCTGCAGGCCACTCCCAGTTCTTTTAAAAGCAGGCACATCCGGACGCGAGGGAGCGCTAGCAAACAATGTGGCTCCGCTCTCTGACAATAAAACACGCAGAAATATCGCCTCACGCGCGGTTTACACTCGATCACAACAAGAGGAATAGGCGGATTTACACACACGAGACCGACTTTTTGTGCCCGTCGAGGAGCGAGACACGAGCCCGGCGGCTGCCTGGCTTTCCCCCTCTCAGCTGAGGTGGTGATCCGCCTCGAAATAAACCACTGAACATGTGCAATGATGATGATAATAATAATAATAATGAAAACAAACTGCATCCTCTCACATATGATTCCACCATCCACCTGTGTTCAGCGTGCAAAACAAAAGCGTGAGCCCGATTCGACACAAGCCAATGGGAAATGGGAGGAAATGAGTTAAAGGTTAGCGCGTTTGTTTTGCTTCGTGGTAAAGAGCGAAGCTGCTTTGAAATCTCACCGTGTTTCATTCAATATGGAGACACAACAGATAAACAACACGGCTGCTGCAGTCAAGTTCATCCCCCTGTCTACTATCACAGCAAAACCACGTTTACTACTTATTGTTCCGCAGCTTAAACCCGCAGCGAGGACACATCAGAGTCCACGCATTTCCACGCACTATCCCGGGAAGCTTGTTCTCGCTTTCCACGCAGCCGGCTGGAGAACTCGGTGCGATAAACCAAACAGAAACGAGGCAGGACTCTGTCGAGTTAGCTCAACCCGGGGTAAGCTAGCCACAAGGCGGTTAATTCAATGGCTGCGGTTTTTTTTTAAAGTTGTGAGAACGTGAACGGGAAAAGTTGTTTCACCTGTTTGTTCGTCCGAGTGAAGTTAGGAAATCGACGTTAGAGGAATAACTTCTGAGCCGCGGGATTCACACAAGCAACTCTCTGCCTGGATGGAGACGGATCAATGTGTTGTTCTTCAAGACTTTCACACCCCGCCCGCTCTAACAATGCCGCGTCCCCGATTGGCTACTCGGCTCCGGGCGAATGGAGCTCATTGGACGGCGGAGCTGTCGATCAGCGATGTGACTGGAGCTTAGCCTCAGCGCGCGAAATGACAGTCTCGTGGGTGCAGCTCGCCTCCGGACTCACTTGTCGCGAGACGTGCAAACGAAATCCCGTGTTCCTCCACTCGTTTTCCCCCCAGAGAGGCAGATGGTGGTTGTGGTAAACAAGTGGTGGAGCTTCTGTCCGCAGAGTCACTTTCCTCATTCAAGCTACTTGTGTTAGTGTGCGGAGCTCACACCCAACCACCCGACTGACGTTATTATACAATTAATGACGCACTCCAGGAAGTAATTATGCCTGAAAAAGTCCAATGCACCAACAAGTACAATGAAAGGTGTTGGACAAGAAGAAACCGGTCAGCCCAGCAGTGCAATAGTTAAATAGAAAAATAAATAATAAAAGCAAAGTAAAAAGATCTTACTATAAAAATATAATACAATAAAGAACTAAGACTATACACATTCAAAGGTGCTTGAACTTTAACTGTATGGAGTGTGTGTGAATAGTTATTGCACATGTGTATGAGAGCATAAGGTGGTTGGTTTTACAATTATAGGCTCTGTAATGTAACATGCATATATATATATATATATACATCAATCACACATGTTTTATTTTATTTTATGTATAGTTTTAACTTACCTTAGTCAAATCAACCCTGAAGTTATTTGATTGAGTCACGCTAGCTCAACATGAGCTTTATTAAATGTGACCTGTTACATTGAGTTTATGTGATAAAGTTACATGGACATTTTATATGTAATTTAAATACATAAAGTCTGTGTTTAAGGCAGGTTTTTGAGTGTTTTCATTTAGTTCCCCTTCAGTTTGGCAGGAGCTGAAAGTGAATGAGCTCAACTCTGTTTATACTAGACCAATGAAAATTAGAGGATCTGTTATTGGGTACATAGAAGACTGTGTGTTTCTATAGCCACCACATTGGAATTGTGCCTCTGCTGCTGCTTGTTCATTGACTCTAATTAATTGATATCTTTGTGCCATTGACGGCCACTGATCCCTCTACATTCAATTCGGCAATGTCATATAAAAGTCATTTAAAAATGTGACATTGGTCTGTCCAAGAATGTCGTTTCCTCAACCTGTTGGACACATGGCAAAATCAATTTTCCTAAACCTGGATCTCTCTGTGATAGAACTGGTCAATATTTTGTGAAATGTACTTTTTTCAAATGTAGGTTAACTCATCGGAGTCTTGCCAGGGGAAACAAAGAAGCCTCAAACATAAATTGAGATCAGGAAAAAATACTTTACTTTCAGTGATTTAATACATACAGTAGGCTTTATATTAGTATTGAAAATAGAGTACTAGCAGCTTCTCAAAATATCAGAACTATTTAAATAATGCAATATCGAGTCACCTGTGAGATACATGTCTCTATAATATCTAAAACCCATAATAATAATGTTGTGTTGGCTAAGGCCAATGACATGAATCAAATAATTATATTACAGTTTTTCTATTCTTTAGAACATTTTAATATTTACAGCTTAAAGATGGATGATACCACTTAGACATATAAAGACATGCCTGCAAAATAAAATGTACTAAAAGCAGTGAAACACAGACAATATTCTAATATAATGATGTGAGAAAATCACTATTAAGGTGCCATGGCACTTGAAACAAGTTGCAGTGTTAAATGGATGTTACACCTTCAGGCAAAGTATTTTATGGTCTTTAAAATCTTTTCATAAAAAATTATAATTGTTGTAAAACTGTTTTACATGAGCTCAAATTGCACTGTATGTGAATGTGGATGGATATACACATTTGTGAGTGCAACAAATCTACATAGAAATTGTTGAATCAGTCTACAGCATGAGTTGTTGTTCCTTCGTTCCTCCAGACTTGACTCTATAGCTGTAACTCCCAATACTGAATGTTGGTTGAGAAAATTCGTCCCAGCATGAAAAAGGTTGGTGAGGTCTATTGGCTGCACGGTGCCTCTGGAGTGGTGGACAGCTGCCGGGCAGGGACGGGACAGCACTCAGAGCTCAGGGAGGACGACAGGAAGTGGACACGACAAGCCAAGTTGTCCAGGAAATCCCTCTGGAGCTTTGTTATTGCTTGAGAAAGCCCAATCGGCAGCGACTGCACACTGAGGAGGATAGAGTCAAGTTTCTCCTCCAGAGCTACGATCCTCCCGTCCAGCTCCTCGCTTCGATGCTGCAGCTCCGACACCATATCATACATCATGTTCTGAGTCTGAAAGCAGAAGGGAGGACAGGTCACATATCTGACCATGAGGTCACTTTGAAGACACTTTTAAACAAGGTTATAGGGACTATACAAACAGATCTGAGCAAGGTACATCTCCTCAGTTCTCCATCTTGTCTCACCCAGGATTTCTCCTTTGTCCATTTTTGAAAAATGTGAAACAAACTGCACATACAGACCTTGGCAAGGTCAGCGACTGTATTGGCCTGGTCAGTTAATTTCCTTTGCTCCATTTTGACTCTTCGCAGTCTACAGTAAAAAACAAAAAGAAACACAGTCGCTTTTGTGCCAAGTGAAATAAATGCAGATTACAAATTGACTTGATAACAGCTAATCACAACCTACAGAATACACAAGTACAATCCTGCCAGACATTTTGCTGTAACGATACAACATTTTGCAAAGTGAGGTGCATAAATCATTTCTACATTATTTAAAATTATTCCTACTGGTGGATGGCTTGCAGGAATTTACGCTGATGGTGGCGTACTCTGGCGTGATCGATCTTCTTTACCAGCTTGGTGTTTTTGTAGATGAGCCACGTCTCCCTCAACACATTAGCTGCTGTGTTTTTTATCTGGGGAGGAAAAAACACACAAATGAAACAGCAGAGAAGGAGAAGCTTTTACATGCCAAACAGCAGCATTTACACTAAGTAAGGTTTGGGTCCTGTTCTGCAAACTGTACAAAGCCTGACCGATTGGGATTTTTGGGGGCGATGCTGAAACATTAGCTGATATATGTTTTTTTCAAATTGGCAATGATTCATAACACGTTGTTATCAAACCCCCTACGAAGAAATGTAATTAAGGCTTGTTATTTTTCAGCTTAACTTTATTATGGAGTGAGTAACCTTTTTGTAGAGTTGAGTGTCCATCATGAAATTATGGACGTGCTTTTCAGCTCTGGTGAGTTCGGACTTCCGCGCAACAACAGCAACAACTAAAGCAGTACAGCCCGCTCCCTAGAAGGAGAGCAGTGGTTACTGACAGTGACGTTAATATTTTAGTAAAAAAACGTATAGTGGCTGTCAGCAGAAATAAATTACACACTTACTGTGATTCTTCCTACATGTGATTTTCATCAGTTTTGTACAAATTACATGACTAAATTAGCAAATTATTCAAAATTTTGCTTCCCACTTAGGATGTAATCTGGATTGTTGGTTGGTATACTGTTTCTGTTTTAATAGGTTTACCCTCTGCTGCATGTCTGCTTGTACTGTATGAGTCTCACCATAATTCCTGTTAATAGGCAAACACCTTTTCCACAGTAGGTGTGAGGGACCATGTCTCCATAGCCAATGGACAGGAAGGTGATGGAGATCAGCCACATTGCTCCAAGAAAGGTACTAGTTACCTCCTGGGCATCATGATACCTGTAAAGACATGGAAACTTGATGTGAAAACTGAAGAGAGGCTGTGATGTCAAGGAAAAACTTTACTTACAAATTACAGATGAACATTTTAATTCAAACAACAGGAAACAGTTAAAAAAAAAAAAAGGTTGACTGGACTTCTATAGATTATTACTTATTTTGGAAAATACACAAACCTTTTGGTGATACTTTACTAATGTAAGTAATTACTAAAGGGATAAAAGAAGGTGTGAGGAGTTCAGAATTTGTTATGTGATACCTCTCACACAGCCGCACAGTCCACGCTGCAATGATCCAACAGGTCACACTGAACACCAGCAGGACTGTGCCGGGGCAAATGGTCATCAGGGTCTTCATCACAAAACGAGTGTCGAAGCTGATCTTGTTGAGGGCCCCGATGCTGCGGGAGGAAGCGTCTGTGAACAGTTTGCTGTGGAGCAGCATGACCCGGCCTATCAGGTAGAGGCGCAGGAACATTGGCACGGAGAGGATGATGTCCATATCAGCGTCAGATACTGATGCTGTGTAACTGACGGCCAGTCGAGCCGTCCAGGTGAACACATACCGGCCCGGGATTGGATGGATGGCACAGACCAGAAGCTCCAACACGACAAAGAGAATTCGCTCATAGGTTATAGCTATCCTCCAATCGTCTGCCCCGTTGTCCACCATGAAGAGCTGTATGAGAAAAGAGTAGAAGACTGAGAGTAATGGTTTAATAATACAGAGTGACATAATACAGTAGACATAAACTGTATATAACAAATTTATTTAAATGATCAATTATAAACTGTTGTGTTTGAACTGTAGTTTTCATTTCAATGTTTTATTCATATGATAACACTAGACTGGCACTCAGAGAGCATACACCTCCACCAAGGTCCAACAGTCCCCTTATAAAACTACAATTAAAACCAGATATTTATATAATAATGTAAATATTATATAAATAGTATTTATTTATTTGTATCTGCATCCAGTTTCACACTCTCATAAATATCATAAATAAATATTCCTAAACATGCCTGTTTTATTTCATCAAGATCCAAGAATTAGTCAAGGGAATCAAGTAAATTGTGGAATATTAAATATTAAACAGAGATTAAAAAATAATCCTGGATCCACCAACTGATCTGGATCTGCACCTAAATATAATGGGTTCTTCACTGACTCATTACCCTTTTTTTGTTGAGTGGTTCAGCCAGAGCACAAATAAGAGTCTACCTTTGTAAATATTTTCCTAAGACAATAATCCAGTTCTGTGATTTCAATTTAAAACCCAGATACAATAAACTGTGACTAAAGTCTTGTCCTTGCT